TTAAAAAAATATCTACCTGTAAGCAACAAGTGCTTTGGAAGACTCACCGAAAAAAAGCTAGTGTGGGAAATGAAAATTGTTTAAATATAGCAATTTTAAACAGAGTGAAGTGCGCTTGGTATAAAAGTTCAATATTTTTCGTGACTTGTCTAGTTAAAAGAATTGCAGTATTTAAAATCTCAACTATTTACTTTTATTATTATTTACGTAGGCAGTGTTTCTTTCCCTCTTAATTTAATATCCTACTCTAATAGTTAATGGCGCTATTTTTAAAATCTTCCCATTTGCGACTATAGCGCCACCTTAATTCGCTCCCTTTCTGCGGACACTTTAAAAACTTTTTAAAAGGACTCACAAGAGGTCCTACCACCAGTGATTACGCAAATTATAATTTTGCGGGTTGTCGTTGTTGTGTGTTGACGTTTGTCTTTGGTTATTTTCGAAAGTATATTATTTTGAAATCGTTGTTAATTCGTTGCTATTTACATATGTATATTGGGAACGGTCACATTGACATGACTATCTAAACGGTTAAAAGATCCCTTAAACTATAAACTTCAACCTGATATCTCAAACAGTAGGTAGCCACAAGTGCCCGTAAGAAGCATTAAAAAAAATGAATTAATAACGATGTAGCGTTGCCTTAAATGATTACATAATATCGAGTATTCATTGACTTGTTATTGTCATATTGACAACCAACGGACGCGTCGTTCTTATTAATTATGTCCATATAATACATACAATAGCTAATGTATTTTTATTTTTATTATCATATTACATATAGACATAATAGACCAAATAGCGGAGGAACTGGGCATACCTATCAGCGACGCACTCCACCGGGCTGCAGGGCGGGATCGATGGAGACAGTTGGTTGACGAAATCGGACGGAGTCACGATCCTCAGCAGTGAGGAACCGATCGAAGAGAGAGATCTAGTTATATCGATACGTGTGTAATATCAACAATGGCACACTAAGATTTGACATGAGAAAAAATGAGAACTATTTCGGATGAAAAAATTATATTTTTTTTTAATTCTTTATGTTTTTATTCCTTTTACCGCAACAATGTCGAAACCACAAAAACATATGACTTATAATTGCTTACATATCACAAACATTACGCGATTTGTTTTTAAAGTATTCAACGTATGTACGTCATCACTAGCCTTGATGTTAAAATTTGGATAGAAGTTAAATCAGTCAGTAGGTATAAGACTCAGTAGATCAATGAACTTAGCGACCGTCTCTGTTAATTATGATAATATTCATTCGACCAACTTCAATCATTCTAATATAACAATGACTTAGATTAACAACAATAAATTAAATGTAATTATTCAAGTCGATGTGTGTATATCGGGTTTTTTATTTATTTATTCGGCACACTATACACATCACAAACTAAAAAGATACATAAAAAGCACAAGTAAAAAGAAACAAAATCTGGATTGCAACATAAGCCATTTTCATTGCATAGATATTTTCCTTAAAGAAGTCAAAACGGCTTGACTTATTTCTATGAAAATCCTGAATACCTTCTATGCAATTTTCTGAAAGTCAAATCAAAAATCGACCAGCAAAGCGGGCTTCAATCTAAACATTTACTAGTTAAATTATAACAATTAAAATAATGAAATCGAAGTTTTTTTTTATTGCTTAGTTGGGTGGACGAGCTCATAGCCCACCTGCTGTTAAGTGGATACTGGAGCCCATAGACATACAATATAAATGCCGCCATCCACCTCGAGATATGAGTTCTAAGTTCTCAATATAGTTACGACGGCTACCCCACCCTTCAAACCGAAACGCATTACTGCTTCACTGTAGAAATAGGCAGGGCGGTGGTACCCACCCGCGCGGACTCACAAGAGGTCCCACCACCAGTAATTACGCAAATTATAATTTTACGGGTTTGATTTTTATTACACGATGTTATTCCTTCACCGTGGAAGTCAATCGTGAACATTTGTTGAGTACGTATTTCATAACAAAAATTGGTACCCGCCTGCGGGATTCGAACACCGGTGCATCGCTCAACACGAATGCACCGGACGTCTTATCTTTTAGGCCACGACGACTTCATTTTAAAATGATACGTATATATCTGTACCGTGTTTGCGATTATTCAACTCGCAGTAAATGCGATCAAGATGGCGTTCTTAATAGCGACCCGATGCACGAAGGAAGTGCAGTGCTTGGATACATAAAAGCAAATCAAATGCGCTTTGGCGAGCATCATTGTGGCGTACTAGAAGCTATCCACCTTCAATGGTATCCTAAATGCGATAATATATAGTATTATCTCCATGAATAATCCAATTAGAGACCGCTCGCAAAGACGTGCAAAATGCATTACTGTGACTATATTTTCACTTTGATTTGCTTTGATGGCTGGCTTAGCGGATACGGGAGCCCATTTATATGTCAACATAAATGCTGCCACCCACCTCGAGACGTGAGGTTTAATTCTCGAGTGTACAGTGTAACGGCTAAGCCACGTTTTAAACTGAACGCATTAGGACTTTCCGGCAGAATTAGGCAGGGTGGTAGTACCTACTACACCAAACGACCCCCTTGCTCTATCTCATCCAACACCCAATCTCCGGCCGGGGTCAGAACCCGGTTAGAGTAAGGGTGGGGTGGTACATACCCGTGCGTATAATAACGCCCAATGATTACACAAATTAGAAAAAAAGGTATTTTATTACTCGATGTTATTTGCCAGTGGAAGTCATTGGTGAGCATGAGTTTAGCAGGTTTTCATTAGATAAATTGGCGACCGTCTGCAGGATTCGAACATTGGCTACAGTCGAATCGTTCGATACGAGTACACCGTATCTTATCCTATAGGCCACGACGAGTTGAAACATCCTAGATTTTCTAGACTAGACTTTTTTTCTTACCTATCCTAGTGATCTCGAGGGGTTATACTAAGCTCACTGAACTAGTAGGTGAGCTCACAAGGCTCAAACCAATGCAGCAGTGATGCGCGGAACCTACCACCGGATCGGAAACGCGACCCACTGAGAAGATTCAGTGAGAAACTCAGTGGGCTGTGTCTGTAGGTTAATTTACCCGCCAAGACCATCGTCGCAAGCGACGGGTTCGACGAAAACGATGACAGGTGCTTGAGCACCGTTAGTGGATCGCGAGAATCCGAAATGACGTGGGAATTTGCTAACACTCGACCCAGTAGGTACATAGTTACATTATTGAATATCTGACGCGCCTCAATGTCGGAATAGGCTTTACCATTTTAAGCCGTCGGGCTGTGCGTTCGCAAGTCTATAGTTAAAAATAGCTTTCAATTAATTGTTTTTTGTTCCACTAATTGGGCACAGCACAGCAATTTTTTTACGGGCGTGACTCGGCAACTGAATTCAGAAGCTCTTTTGTTTTCAAAGGAAGATTAGTATATATACCTATAACGAACTGGCAATGTCGTCAACTTAGTTGGATATTTTTACTTGTAGGTTAGTGACGTTTATAAAAATGTTCAAGGGCATCCTCCACTTAATAATAGGCCAAGTAGCGTAATTTTTTAATGTATATTGTGAATAAAGTTATTTCCTTACATTATAAGTTAGATTCGTTTTCTTTATCGTGTTGTTTTGTCGTATAGTTGTAAGGAACATTGGGTACAAACTCAGCACTTTGTCTTACTTAGTCGCGCACACATGACTTATGTTGCAAGCCAGATTTTGTTTCTTTTTACTTGTATTTTTTATGTATCTTTTTAGCTTGTGATGTGTACTGTGTGCCTAATAATATATATATAAATAAATAAAATATGGTATGCCTGATAGTGAGTGGTTTTCAGCGTTCACATATCGTAGTGTAGACCGGTTGTTATTTCGATACGAAATTAGCATTTAATTCCAGTTGCAGTGACAATTTAATATTGTAATGTTTAAGGCGACAATGGAAATGTAAGACACTCATTCCTTTTTTTTGTCAGGAGGATATCGCCGGACTTCCGCCCTCCACTGGAGATGGAGGGCGGGGCATGTCGGATTCGAACCGACTAAAACCTCCTGTCGCTCAACAACCAGCATCCAAACCTCGCATGAGACAGAACTCATGAAAACGCAAAGGGGGGAAAGTGAAACGTTTAGTGCGGAGCACATCTCTCCCAACACCCTCCCACTCGTGACGCCGGACCGGCGGTCGTCGGCGCCACGACCACCATCCCTCTCGGTCGGCAGGCTAAAGACACTCATTCCTTCCACTTGTATTGTTCGGGTCTACAACGAAGACTAAACAAAAATACTTTGAACAAGAAATGTCAAGTACACCGAGAGAACACTAAATCGTTTTAGTTCCCGCAATGAACACGATCAAAAGACAAATCGGATGACATAGAATTTTAGATTTCAACATGAAAATGTTTATAAGCTCCGATAATTTCTTTACATCGGTCGTTGAATATGTTAGTGCGCATATCTCAGCCAAAACGAAACTAAAGCTAAATATTTTACAGTATCTATCAGCGCTGTCTTCAAAATTTCACTACATACGACATAGATCTTCTATAGACAGATAGATCTTTTGTTATTCTCCATTCTGTTATATGCTTGAGGAGAACACGACCAAGCGAATGTAAATTGCGTCGTTAAACTGAAGAATAATTGAGGCCATCAGCGCAAAAGTGGCCTAACCCACTTTTTTTTTATGGACTCATATTGGAATTTATTTAAAATATAATAAAATATTTTGATGCAAAACCGGCCTATCCATAGTTTCACCCATAGATAACAGATAACTTTGTAAACATTATTTTTGGGCGTATTGTTTTTTTCCTACTCAAATATTCAAATTCATGAAAATTCAAACCTAATTGCCTCCATACTGACTATGGTAAGCTTAGGCCACTTTTGCGCTAACAGCCTCTATTACACAATGAAGTTGGCAATTTGAAAAAAGTTTGTTTTTTCGGCCCAAAACATAGATGTATGTTTTCCTAGAATTCGTAGTATTTCTTTTTTTTAGTTACCTCTTTGTAGTTCCGATCGGACACCTCTGGCTTCGCTGTTGTCTCGAACAGATTCAATCTGGAGCTTTGGAAGAAATCGGAATTCGAATTTTGTCTGGAGAACAGCTCGGCGGCTGAACTCTCCCTGGTCAATGACGGGCGTGCCTTGACGAAGGGGTTGGTCCTGTTCGCATGGCTTTTCTTCAGCCAATTGAATTTGTTCACCGCTTCGGGTGCCGGAGACGATGAGGGCGTCTCATCTGGACTTCCACAAGGATTCGGTGTTTCTGTTTGTTGTATAGACATATTTACCTAATTACGTTTAACTGTGATACTAAACAAAACTATGACATCCACAGATAATTTTGTGAGTTATCAGACTATTTCTTTTATTAATAAATTAACATTAATCTTCATGTTTTGTTCGTCTAAACAGAGTAATATTTCAAACACTACCACGCACGTAGCACAAATTTAAAACGACATAATCGTTTTTTATTATTACAATTTTATTTTATTTTTCAAAATAATATTCATACAATGAACGTATGTTTGCGTGCGTGGTCCGCACACGACTGATCCATTTAAATGCGCACGCGTTCTAAAATAGGAAGATTAAACGCGAGATTACAATTTGTACCGAAGCGAAAAACAGATAAATGCGATGCTTTAAACCGGAACTAATAGCTCGTTAAACAAAATACACTAATAACTCTGTCAGGGAAATAGCGTTTTGTCGAGTTTGTCTGTTAACCATTTGTGGCTCACGCTGAGATGGTCCAACGGATATAAAGTCATCGCCATTTCAAAATAAAATAAAACAATATTAAAGTAAAATGGCTCCCTAAAACAAGCATCTTCCGAGTCAGGACCTAGGTGTATCCATAGATTTTATTTTTATTTTTGCATCTTCTTCTTTTTTGGTTCTTTCCTATTAACCTCTGCTTGGGTGTAGGGCTCGTATCAAATTCTTCCAATTGTATCCACGGATTCTCTATCTTTTGCCAGACCCTTTCCAGGTCGACGCTCTCTTGGATGGATGGGTATCGGGCTTTGGTGTTCCTCCACAACTCGTATTTTGTATCAATTTTATTATTTTTTTCTGATCCATCAGTCGACCCGATAACCCTTAAACCCCTTAAAGCTCCAACGCAGGTATGCGAGAATAGTCAGATGACACGGTAGCGCCAAATCGTGCCGACATAATTAACGCAATAATTCAAAACCACCTAGGTTCAATCCGACGTACGTACGACACGATAACGTTAGTTGTAAAAATCGTATACAAAGCTCAGCTTTAGCAGAAAATTTGTTACTACCGTACTGCCATCGGCTCGGATTTTGGGAAATTAATTGTTTACGGCGTTAATTGAGTTGTTATCTCTTCTGTGTTCTCTCGAATTTGAATCGAACTGCTTACGGTCTTTTATCAAACCCGATGAAGAGCGGTTATGTGAAAACCAGCAATGTACAGTCAAGTCGTGCGATTATCTACTACCCGATTCTCTATCGTGTTCACCAGAAATGAAATCAAAGAAAGTGCACAAAGCGTCGCACGATAATAGTTTCAATTGAAAATAATTTACTCTAAGAACCCTTTGAAGTGTGAGTAGCTGTGGGTAGATAACACATGACGTCTTGAAAACCTGAATCCCACAAAGTACCAATGCAAGAAGTCGGCCCAACAAACGAACTTGAAACAATTCAAACAATGAATGGAAACTTACTTAGTGAAACAATAACGTTCTTACGTTACTGACTAAATTGATTTACAAATAAACCTATGCTAATTAGAAGACTGCGATAGATTTGTCTGAACGTCACTTCAGTACCGCAAACATTTGGACAGGGCCGGATTATGGTCGGTATCGGAGGGGGTCATTCCTCCATACTTTTTTTTTATTGCATAGATGTGTGGACGAGCTCACAGCCCACCTCGTGTTAAGTGGTTACTGGAGCCCATAGACATCTACAACGTAAATGCGCCACACACCTTGAGATATAGTTCTGAGGTCTCAGTATAGTCACAACGGCTGCCCCACCCTTCAAACCGAAACGCATTACTGCTTCACCGCAGAAATAGGCGGGACGGTGGTACCTACCCGTGCGGACTCACAAGAGGTCCTACCACCAGTAATAATAATACGATCGTATGACCAAATTAGTGCAACAATCAACGCCAGAATTCTTGAATGCAGTTTACGCCGCTAAAGAGGATGCAAAACAAGATGATGCAATGTATTCGAAAATACTACAGAGCTTTTTTTTCCTACCTATGCTGAGAGTCTTGAGAGGCTATTTCAGTTTCACCTTAACATGTAGGTGAGCTCACGGGGCTCAAGCCGCAAGTGTTGCTAACACTGACCCTAGCAAGAGCAGTGCTTCGCAGAATCTACCACCGGATCGGAAACGCGACCCATTGAGAAGATCCGGCGAGAAACTCAGCGGACTATGTCTATGGGTTAATTCGCTCGTCAAGCCCTTCGTCGCAAGTGACGGGATCGACTAGGATGGTAAACGGTGCTTGTGGTACCCAAAATCACCCTTAATGGACCGGGAGGAGCCGTAATAACGTGTTTTGGGCGACGTCGACACCACAGGACGCACGACCTTTACCGCTGAGAAAACAACAAGTGAAAAATAGTAGCAGTTTTTTCTGCGAGCATTAATTATATTGTTAAAACTACATGTTAGATTTTTCTTTTAGTCACCTTGTGTTCTTATGCCACTTTTCTTTTATCTTTGACTATGTAAATAAAAGATAATTTACGATTGTCATTGTTTAAATTTTAAATCCTTATTCAAGTTTTTTATTGCAACCACTAACCTTGTATAATCCTTATAAACTTGTAGAGGGTATGATAAAAAAACAAAACAGAATCTCTTTTCATTGGTACCTAACGTCAAAGCCAAATAAGGGATAAATCAGAGAATGTCTCTCTTACTCGAGTCTTACACCAGTAGACTGCGATCGTCTTTCCATCGTAGGGTTACATATTGAAGCCATCGTGGCTTAAAAGATAACACGTCCGGTCTAATCGTAACGAGCGATGACACCGTGCCGACGTTCAAATCCCGCAGGCGAGTAACATTTTTTTTTCTAATTATATACGTAATCAACACACGTTCACCAATCACTTATGCGAATTGGAAAAGTATTGACGAATTTCAAAAATTGTAATATGCGTAATTAGTAAAAAGGGAAACTTCAAGACTCAAGGTGTTAGTGACGTTGTTATTTCTATGGGCTCCGATAACCATTTAACACCAGGTGCGCCGTGAGTTTTGCTTACCGGTCCACGCATTAGACGTGAAAAAATACTATTATACCTACTTACTATTATTATTAATTTAACAAAACATCACAGTGCTGTTTGTTGCTTAGTTACAACAGATTATATGGAGATCCTTGCATTTTTCCAACTGTTTTTTGGCTTCCTGATTATAGTGTTTTTATCCATCATAGAACACAGAACATTTTATAGATGTGGCCTGAATCTCGCTAACGACATTTTCATGTTAATCTTACATACATAAATACAAGTCCCAAACAAAAATCTGATCATCGATCTACCGAGCAATTCCACCCACTCGGTGAAAGAGCGTGAAATACCTTCCCACTGTCGTTAACTCCTAAATCCTTCACAGCAGCCCTGGTTGTGATCCAATTATTTGTGATGCCTAAATGAGTAAGACACCGACATCAACTTAGAATCGACCATCATCATGTAAAAAAAGAACTCCACAAACACTTCAGACGTCAACAGTGATTTCTTTCTATCGTGAATGAGCTATTCGCGCCATAGAGTTCGCAAGATACCAGAACTGGGCAGATCGCCAATTCGACTACAACCCGAGCACCGAATACACACACTTCAATCAAATATTTATTGTGCAAACAGAATCGCCTGTTTATGTTTAACCGTCGTTACTATGCCAGTTCTGATTTAATGTAAACAAAACTAGTTAATTTACGTGCACCGAAGTCCCTTTGTTTTTTTTTTTTATTGCTTAGATGGGTGTTAAGTTGTTACTGGAGCCCATAGACATCTATAACGTAAATGCGCCACCCACCTTGAGATATGAGTTCTAAGATCTCAGTATAGTTAGAACAGCTGCCCTACCCTTCAGACCGAAACGCATTACTGCTTCACGGCAGAAATAGGCAGGGCGGTGGTACCTACCCGCGCGGACTCACAAGAGGTCCTACCACAAGTATATCAATTCTGTATATCAATCTAATTCTAATCTTTTCTCTTTATAGACATCGCATGCCTCTGTGAAACGACGGCCTAGTATGGATATCAATGGATACTATAAGTGTCTAATCCACATCCAAATTTGGCTGTGGTAAATATTTGCGGCATATCATCCTTAACTCTGTCAAGAAGTTCATTTGAACGGTCATCGGAGATGACGAGTAGGGATTAGGGGAGACAGAAGATATTGTCAGTCGGATAGTCGGGCGTACGTCTTCCCAGTCAATGATAGTGTTGTACCGTCATTGTGTACCTATTTTGGGGGAAAGAACAAAAGGAAGATTTTCCACAGAGCCGGTTTTATTGCTCGCTAGACCGACGTCGCAAATTTTTGTCGCTAACTCGATTCAGGCCCATGTCAAATATATATTTTATACAATTATAAAATAAAATATACATTCCAAGCACCGGTCAGCGCTCTCATCGAACCCGTCGAATGCGACGAGGGGCTCATCCTGCAACTCACAGACACAACCCACTGAGTTTCTCAGTGGGTCGTGATTCCGATAAGGTGCTAGATTCAGTGAAGCACTGCACTTGCTCAGATGTCAGCAGTCTCCAAGGCTGAGCCCCGTGAGCTTGCTTGCACGTTCGGTGAAGCTAACATAAGTCCTCGAGGCTTCTAGCAATGGATGGTTAAAAAATAAACCAAATATTTTCTTCTTACGCAAAAAATACGAACGAGCAATTCAAGTCGAGTCGCTTTTAAGCAAGTACTAGTTAGTAACTTGGACGAAATGGGTTTACGAATTTTCATGATGATCATCGACAATGTTCTGTAATGAAAGCTAAATGAAAACAAAATCAAATGCTCAATTTTCAAAATTTTAACCAGAAACAATACAAGTATAATTTTCCGGACAATGCGACTGTCAGATGCAAACGCGTAATCAAATTGAAGCCCTTTTGTGCGCAGTAACATTGCTAATCAGTTTCTGGAAGGCGCATTCTATTTCTTTGATATTATTATTATGTATTGACTTTTAAACGATTTAACAATCCGACTTGCTAGCTCTCATTACACACTGCCTTTCTTTATTACACACAGATCTGGGATAATTATCTGCAAAAAACCCATCCCTGACGACACTGAAATGTAAAATTAATTGAATATGCAATTTCGAAAAGGGCACATCTCTGAAAATGTAAAATATTCAGGAAATGAAAAAATCTGATTTATTTTCTAAAGCAGTGTAAAATTTAAAATATTATCTTTTGAGATATATTTTAGTGTTAATTAGCAATTGAAAATTACTGGAATTATTATAAAATGGGTGTAGGTAAGCCTCAAAACTACATGTATATG